TTTATGTTTTTGAGGAATGCAAATTTAGTCGTAGAGGCTGGGTAAGAAACCATGCCACCCTTCCTTTTAAACCTTCAAAAGGTTTCTGTCTACAGCTGCTGTGGAGGGATGGGACCAAGAGTTTCACTTTTTGGTCTCTTTTAACAAATTCTTTGTATTATGCCATTGCCCTTGGCAACTGGTGAAGTAAGGGGAAGGGTCACATATTCCTGTGAGAGGGGAAAGCAAATTTCATTGCTAAAAGCCTGTTTTAAAAATATAATAGTACCCTGGCATCCTGGAAGCTGAACCTTCGTGTTTATCCATGAAATAAGTATGTAGGAACAGAGGTGGTTTAATTCCTTAGTTCTGTTGCTCTGCTGATGAACCTCTGCTCAGACTGGGAGTGAATGGGATGACCTTCAAATTTACTTACCACAGTTAAACATTTTCACTTGAATTTTGGAGCAGGTTTTTGTGTTTCTGTTGTTGTAATATGAATAGCTTAAGGGCAGTGGATTTCAATCTCTCTTGATTTGTAAGTCCCAGCTGTTTTTCAGTGTTTTTGCAGACCCTGTCAAAAATCTCACATATGCACATTGCTGCATAGCATGTTTTAATTATTTTTCCTGAGTTCATGGATGCCTTTAAACTAGTCTGTGTTTTTTTGAGAAGGAGGAGGAGAAGATGCAAACCATGGTTTGAAGAGCTGTGTGTTAGGAGGCTTGCTCTGCATGTGACAGTTGATTTACAAACAACCTCAGAAAAAGCATTTGGACTATTTTATATTTTGGGTGTTTGTATTAGCTTACCTTTTCCCCATTCAAAAACATGAGTCCTGCCCCTGAATAAAATCAAGAGAAAACTTGAATTTATGTAAAATGTTGCATTCGTTTTCCTTATGAGCCCAAGTTATCGGACTTTATTTCCCTCTGCAGTCATGAAGGCTGTAAAAATGATATAGTGGAGTCATATAATGACTTGATTCTAAGAGCTAAAATTTCAGAATAACAATCATTAAAGCACTGCCAACACAGTTCTGAGCAGCCAGCACTGTGCTGGCTTGAGTCAGATTTCAATCAATAAACCAGAGGTGAAAGGCGCTGCTGCTCATCCTGTTCGAGAGCTCCCTTTTCTTTATTTACCGTTCAATGCAGCAGCTAGGGTTTCTTCAAAACACATGAAGGTTAAGTGTCAAAACAACAGGCAAGCCTATTCTGCACCATACAGCTGAAATTGTGGTTTTGTGAATGAATTCTTGGGTAATTCTTAAGTGCACGTTGCCACTGAAATAGCATTGATCTGGGTTTGAACTTGAATGGTCAGCAAACGGCTTTTCAAGCCTTTACTGCCCATGAGCAGCCTGGCAAACAAATCTGGCAAAGCTTAGCTAAACTTCATTTTGTCACAAGTGTTTTTCCTGTAGTCACTTAGTCAGACACAGAACTTTCAATGACTTAAGTGAGGCAGTAAAAATTGCTGTTAGTGTACGTGGATGTAGCTAATTATCAGTAGACACAAATGACTTTTAAAAAATGTGATTATCTGTAGTTTAACCTGTCCTACCAGTTGTGATGGATCTGCCATTAATTTCTACCTTTTTCCCCCCTTTTTTGCCAACGTTAAGTGGCTAAAAGCCAAGGTAAGAAGTGTTATTTCTCCTTTGACCCACAGTGCCTCACGTGACTCATAGTAGAGGCTGCGGAGCCATTAAAACTGAAAACTAGCGCTCTCTTATGCTCTCCTCTGCTTTCCATAGGATATTTAGATTAAACATGCTATACTGGATCGTTTTTATTTACAGCATTTACCGTGTGTCAATATATCTGTGATACATTGACATCTGCATTTATACATAGATACATTAATTTCTCTAACACATGTAGTGCTTTGCTCTGAATTCAGTAGATGCCTTGATCCCCTTCACTGACATTTTTTTGCAGGAGACTTCCCAGACAACATGAATGACTCTGCTAGTCAAATAGCAGGGGCAAATTGAGAAATTCTGGGCCCATGCTGACTGTACTGTCAGCGTTAAAGTTTGATTTAAATTATTAACATCTGAATGGAGGTGAACACAAATGTGGTTTCCCTTTAAAGAAAAGAGGATATAAGAGATTTTTGCATGAACCCGTCAATTACCTACCTTCCTGATGTCTGCTGTAAATTAATAGCAAAAATAACTTCAAGGTTGTATTTAGACATTTTGTATTTACTGGTATCTGTCTTACGTGTGGCTGAAAACTTGCTGTTTGACAGCTGTCTGGGAATTCTCACTTCAAATCCTTACACTTAAAAAAAAGAAAAGAAAAAAAAGCTGTCAATAACAGAGCTGCTCTGTTATAAAAATAAAACCCTGTTTTCCCTTATTTCAGCATGGAAATAACCAGCCTGCAAGAACTGGCACCTTGTCAAGAACAAATCCGCCTACACAAAAACCACCGAGTCCTCCCATGTCAGGCCGGGGAACTCTGGGGTAAGAATGGAGGCTGCTTGGTCCAGCCTCTGTCATCGAAGTTCTAATTGTGATGATGATGGTGTTTCTTAAATACGTGGATAGAGGGCAATTCTCACTTCTGTTAGCAAAATACACAAGCACCTTCTCCATATAAACCCTTTCAGCTGCATTGACTCTCTCATTTTCAGTATGATCTTTTGAAAGAATGTTTTGGGTTTGTTTTTTTTTCATGGGGGAAGGGTTTATTATAGATACGGCTAAATGAGGAGGCTACTGTTATTCCTGATTTTTTGGGAAGAAAACCTTAATGACACAAAAGATCAAAAAGGCTTTAACTTCAGTAGGGGAAAGAATTGTTTGTGTCCACTCGTTTCTCAGTATTACAAGAGGTATGAAATGGCTCTTTGTGCCCTATTTATTGCATTATCTAAGCAAAATTTGTTGCATTGTGAACACATTGGCAACACTGATTCTCTCAGGCTTGTGTGTTTTTATGCTTATATGAGGAAGGATTTTGCTATTCTCGAGTCCCACTGTGACCAGAGTTCCCTGCCTGCCATAGCATCTATTTTGCTCTTGTGCATCTGTGGGGAGTGAAATCTGCTTATCTTGGTGTGCCAGCAAGTAGTTGTTGCTAGAGACCGAAATATTAATACTTGAGAAGCTCGGAGCATGTGCCATATGGCTTTGTCTGTCCAACTGTGCATCATCTTCCAAAAGGTATCCTAAACAAGACCTTCTATTTGTCACACTCGATCTTTCTTTTATGCTGTGGGGGCTGAGGCACAGTAAAGCTGGCTGGTATGATTGTGTTGGCTTCAGGTATGATGTCTGGTAGAGAGCTTGGGAAAATGAGGAACAACGAGACAGAACAGGATGGGGATCAGAAGCAATGGTGAAGGAAAATTAGAAGCAGCAACTCCTTTTGTTGAAGACTTAGTGATTTCTAATCCTGATTTATGCTTTGCTGCTTCACGATAGCAGTGGTTGTTGTGTGTTCTGCAGAGAAATTACCCTAGAGGTTTCCTCAGCGTGTTTTGTGAAAATTCCCATTGCTCAAGGGCATGCAATCAGTATTCCAATTGTCTCTCTTATCCCAGCTGAGAAAGAGTTGTTTATCAGCCCTGGGAAGCTGGGTAGCACTTTCATGTTCTCTTGGATGTTTGCTAGTGAAACAGCCGTGTTGATGTACTGGTGAGCTGCTTCTCTCTCATACTCCCCCCTGATCAAGCTGGAGCTGTTTGGTTGCCTTAGCTGATGCCTGATAAGGATTAATCAGCTGAATGTCATTTCCAGATGAGCTTGACAAGAGGCAGCAGTTGGCTGAGGGGGAGGAATAATGTGGGTTTGTAAGAGATTTGTATCTGCCCTTCTTGTTCAGGAAGTACAGCTCTTGTCTTGAGCAGCCGTGTTCTGCCAAAGCATGAAATATCATAGGCATGACTGTTTCCCTAATATATGCAGAAAAACTGCTAGAAACTGCAAGGATACTCTTCTCCCTTTGATCCAGAAAACAGAGATAAGCGTGTAAAATCAGGAGGAGCTTGGTGTGTAACATGGACCTTTAAGTATGTGCTGCCTAATTGTGCAGCTTGTCCCTCCAAGGAGGACTGTCTAAAAGAATATGGTGAGGAGGGAGTCCTGCACAGACATTGTGTGGGTTGAAGGGGGAAAGAGACTGCAGAAAGCAGGGATGTCTTCACCAGACCAGGGAAAGACAATGGAAAAGCTTGGATGCTCAGGTTAGAAGTATCACGGGAGAACGAGTGAATTGCTGGGGCTGGATGGAGGGAGTAGTTACAGTGGTGTCTTGAGGGTCCTGGGTCAGAGCTTGGCCTTGGCTTCCTTGTAGCTCTCCCTGGTGGCTACTGGCCATCAGGACTGCAGTGAAGCACTGGGGGCAGTTAGGTGGGGAGCACTGGGCAGTGTCAGGAAATAGTGTTTTCCTCCTCTGCGTAAGGCTGGCAGAAGAGCAGAGGGAAGGATTGGACTTGAGTGATGGAAAGAAATAGGTTTTAACTTCTCTGGTGCTTATGAGTTTGAGTTCCTCAGTGAAGCTAAGAACAGAGGAGAAACTGAGGCATAGCTGAACCTGAGGATGTAGTGGGCCTTTGCTTTTGACTATGTTTTTAAATTGTACAGGCAAAATTAATAGTACCAACGAGCTAAGGACTAGTTCCTATTGCCAGTCTGTTCCAAGGTAGAATATTTTAAAACATTAGTTTTCAAAGTTATTCCTGTTGGAAGCACATTTAAAATATTCCCTGCATATCGCTTTATTCGGCAGTGTTTAGGGCTTTATCTCTTACAATTGGAACACAAGGTTTCTTTACTTTCCCCACGACTGATCTCTTTTGGCAGATCTATAGGTGGTGGCAGTCTGCATATTAAAATCAGCTGAAGTTCTTTATATAGACAAACTAATTTACAAACACCACAGTCCATGCAAACAATTACAAGAATTTCTCTTTGAGAGGTTGTAATAATAAAATATTACAGTTAAAATTCAGGACTGTTGCATTCCATACTGTAAAAACGAAGTCAGTAAGTTTCTTAAAATACCAGGAAGCTGTACAACTCGACCAACTTGGTTACAACCAGTATTTGAAGAAACGATTAAATGCCAGTAGTTTAGTATTTTTGTTTTTGCTTAGCTGGTGCATTGCCAGATTCCATGTCTTGCAAGCGATCTCTTAGTTACTGGTGAGAACTGAAGACCTCTGCAGTTCAGTACAATAAATGCACTGTTCTTAAGGCAGTAATGGATCTGGTAAATAGATCTCGAAAGATCTGTGTTGTATTTCTGACTTGATGCAGCCTGCTAGGTCATCTTAGAAGTCTCTGGGCTTCACTTTCTTGGGCTGCAAAATAGAGACAGTGAAGCTCCAATTGAGGCAATGTGTGGGGGAGAGGAAGTTGTTACAGTGAAAGTTTGTCATGTGCAGTGTACTGGAAGGTAACCCCAGAATATTATGTGGATATAACTATTGTGTGTTACGTAGTTTAAAGAATATATTTTGGGTGATAAATTTAGTTTAGGCTTTTTTAACCAGTTTATCATGTTGCAGGCCAACTTGTATGGATGAGCACTTTAGAGAGTCAAATGTGACCTGTCTATCCCACCTGGTGGAATTTGTTTAATATACTATAATGTGGGTCACTGTGCAGTGATCTCTCATGAAAACTTAAGAAAACAAATGGCTTCACTGCTTCATTCATTTGTGCTTTTGATCTTCTGATCCTTTATCCTTCTGTCTTCAAATCTTTTCCTTGACCAGACGAAATACTCCTTACAAAACCCTGGAGCCAGTCAAGCCGCCAACAGTCCCCAATGATTACATGACAAGTCCTGCCAGACTGGGCAGTCAGCACAGTCCAGGAAGGACGGCTTCCTTGAACCAGAGACCAAGAACACACAGGTAAAGCATTTTCTCTCTGTAGCTCTTCCCTGCCTGGCATACTGATGCTTACTAAAGTCACAAAAGCTTTGAAGCTTTGTGCCTGTTGGCTTTTTGTTGGGAGGCGAAAGGTGAGTTATTAGCTGTATTGTCGACTTCTCTAACGATGTAGAAGTGTCATCATACTCTGTAGAAGCCTCATGGTATCTAGCAACTTCCATAACCACAGGCCTTATTTTATATAATCAGTTTATTTTGTTCTATGGCATCTGTTTCGCAAGAATAAAAAAACCTTCAAAATTTATACAGTTGCAAGGTAGGGTAGTGATGGGCCCTCATGGGCTGAAAGCTGCATTATTAACCTTAGCCTAAAATATTCTTGGGCTTTTTTTGTTTGTTTTCAAGACCACTGATTACAAAGGGAAATTTCTGTTGATTAGAAACACTGTGATGAAGGTAGTCAGAAAGAGCCAATTGTTTTCTTTTGGCTAAAGCTTAATGCTTATAATCAGTGCATGATAGAAGTAGAAAATAAAACCTATTCACAGAGCAGGTATTGGCATCAGCCAGTTGTTTCTGCATGCTTAAGGGCTTTGATGAAAGAGTAGTGTATGTTTTGGGTGAGAAGGGTGCTCCAGATGTACCTCACTTCTTGTTTTCAATGTCATGTGATTTTTTTTTTTTTTTTTTTTTTTTTCCTTGAATTGCAAAGCTGGATCTTTCTCTGAGCCTCTTCAGAGAGACCATTTTTTTTCAATCTGATTTTTAGCATCAGCTTGTGCAGGGGGAAAAACAGACACAAGAATTCAGTATAGCGTCAGAATGAAATAACTTTTAAGTCTGGCTGCAATGGAGATCTTGTTAATCTGTTTAGCTGGCTACTGTGAATGCTCCCTACTCTTTGTCTCACAAGATCTTCCTTTATGTAGACTGCAGTTAGAAGTTCAGCTGCAACCATGGTGACAAGATCAAGATCGTCAGCAGACAGAACACTAATTTTGAAGGAATTATCTTGGCTTCCATTTCAGATCACCAATTTTATTTTTTGTAGCAGTGTTACTTTCTTAAGATACATTTGAATGATTTGTGCTTGACTCTTGACAGCACTGATTTGCAGCCTTCCAGGAATGGTAAATAAATTCTAACATTAGTGAGTACTCTTTAATTAACATGGATGAGTTAAAATGGTGTTCTGGCTTCAAAACATCTTGACTATTAGTTCTCTTTTTATTATCCATTTAATCCATGTAAATTCAAGTATTGGCCTAAGGACTGCTCTTGGCTAAGAGTAAGAACAGATTCCACCTGAATCTTGATTCTTTTTCAGCTCCCTTAATTAAAGGAAGTGTTACAGCCTCCAAAGACATGTGTAGAAGCGTTATCCAGTAGTTCACTAGAAGTACATTCTGTAAAAATCTGTATTGTTGGCCTCTGATGTGTATCTCATGTAACAGCAATTCAACAAATTGTGACCTGGCTGTACAGTTACCTTTCAGAAATCATGGAAACAAACTTCTCATACACAAAAAGTGTGTACATGAGCAGGGTGAGTGTTAAAATATACAGAATATTATCAACACCACACCCTCCCCCAGTTGGTTTGTCGTGGCTGTTCTCAGTTAAAAAGTTCTCAGTCTAAACGTCTGTTCTGAGCAAAGGAAATGTTCCTTCGTCTGACAGCATAAATAATCTTAAATAATTATTTATAGTTTAGGCATGAGTTCTTGCAGCCCCAGCTTATTAATTTAAATTATTGCAAGGCCCCTGAGCTACTCCTGCAGTTGTTACTCCATTGGCTAGAACTGGTATGGTTGCTTACCTTTTTATTTTTGAAGAATTTAATTAGACATTGTATACATAACAATGTTTATCAGCTTAGCTAATTTATTAGGGGTGTAATGCAGCCAGGCTTGATGAGCTGTATGCAGTTGTAGGTACAGACAGAGGCATTTTATAGGGGTTTTCTCAACAGTCCATAACTGAGTTAGCCTGGCAGAGCTCACACAAGTGTGAGTGCTCATAGGCCTTTGTAGGAAATGCTGTGCTAATACTTGTGGTTTTCTTTTGTAGCGGTAGTAGTGGAGGAAGTGGCAGTCGAGAGAACAGTGGAAGCAGCAGTATTGGCATTCCCATTGCCGTGCCTACGCCTTCACCGCCAACCATTGGACCAGGTATGTGGGACTCCTCCCATGTTAGCTTACGGCTGTAATACCACTCACTTGTGTTTGCAGAGGGATTTTGACTGAATATGGTGGGGTAGAAACTGTCCTGAAGCACAGTTCTAGTCAGGAAATACAAGTTCTGAGGGAGACTTAAAGTTGTAATTTTTTTACCAAAAGTACCTGCAGAAGAATCATTTACAGAATAGCAGATGGTTAAAACACCTCTGTCAGTCTATGTTTTTACAAGATAATCAAGGTGGGAAGGGGAGAGGAGGAGAGAGGTGTAGCCTTTTAAAGCTTAAGTGTATTTTTAAATGCCTATCTACAGTTTGGCTTTTCTGGATGCCTTTATGTTTGATGGGAAGTGCCTTCTGAAATAGCCTGCTAACTTTACCATCTGCCAGTACATGTTTTGTTGGTTGGTTGGTTTTTTTTTTTCTTTTTTTGAAACCAAGTGAAAGTCTCTGTGTTAAAACGCAGAAGATGACCTATGAAAACACTGCTAGTAGTAGAATTCGGGCTTATCCGCCAGTGTTGCTTATGCAACAGTTACAGGCTGAAGTTGCTAAGCTGTGGTGGAGATCATTGAGGCAGAACTAGTGTGTATGAGGTAGCACAGGAGTAAATGAGAACCATGCAGGATTTCTCAGCATCAAAAGCATACTACCTTGTCTTTAAGAATGATAATGGTGAGAATGTGTAGAACCCTTCTAAATAATAAGCAGGCAGCATTATTATTTTGGTAACAAACCAACTCAGTCGCTTGTTTACTAGCAGTGTATTTTGTAAGCTAGTTTGCACAAGTAAACAGCGGAGTTTCGGTGTAATGTAGTTTTGCTATCACACCTCTTAAATTTCTCTTCCTCAGATGAAAAGTCTTCACATACTCACATATAGGCTTTCCTTTCCCAGGTGTTTCTGATCCTGCAGTGGTAAAACAGGCATGAAATCTTACTATTGCCTGGCATCCCATAAAAATCAATGGGAATAAAGAGCTGCAGGTACAGAACCCTGCGTAGGATCAGGGCCTGAGTTTGTACCAGTTGGCAGAAGTTGAACTTTTGTATTTATTTTGGAAGCCTATCAAGTGCCCATGCTTTCTTTTATTTTTTATTTTTTAATTTATTTTTAATAATATGGCCTAATTGGAAATATAAACTATTTTATTAGCTCATATTTCTGTTCTTCCTCCTCCTGGACCCTTGCCAGCACCACCACTGCCACCACCTCTCCCGATGGGCAGTCTGATAGGTGAGACTTGCATCAATGCTGAAGTGATTGCAGTCATGCTGCATAATCAATAATCACCTCCTCCTAATGGACTTAGTGAGGGTGGTATTTTTTCTTTTGTTCTGGGGTCTACATGATTTTAGTATAAAAGTCAGTTCTGTGCATTTTTGTTTGTTTATTATTAAGCAAATCTAATCTCCACTAATTTCCTGTGGTTAAAGCCTCTGAAGGTAAATGCATAAGGTATGGGGAAAAGGCTTGAAATCAGTTGCTTGAAATCTCTGTTCCCAGTAAAGCTAAGATCCAATTAGTCTGATCTATAAAAACTCAAAATCAATTTGAATATTGGTATTCTGTTGTGTCACTCCTGCAGCCGAAACTAAGCCACAACAGTTGCTCGCTGGCTTAAAAATGGTAGCTGATGTGTAAGGGTGATCTGTGTCTTCTATCTTGTGGACATACGGTGACTGAAAAGCAGAAGTGTCCATCACAGTGACTTAGGTTTGATTCTGTGATGCTGCAGGCAGGCGGCAACTGGAAGACTTGAGGATATGAACTAACAGTTCTTGCAAAATTGCTTCAGGCATTACATACAGCTGTTAGGATGGGATCTAAAAGTAGCACTTTTCGGAACAGACAGGAAAAAATACCCCACCCTTCCCCATCACAGGCTGATGACAAAATTCATGGATTGCGTTATGAAACTAGCTTTGGAGGCTTTGACCCACGTAACCATTTGCACTTTCCCTTAATGAAGTGTTAATCAACAGTGACTTTGGATAGCATTACAGGACTGCAAACTTCTGATCACATACTGTTTGTGTGTGTGTGTGCGTGCATTTTTGTGTATGTTTATTTATATTTATATAAGATACATATGTATATAGAAGCACAAAACGTTTTACTGCAAAACAATTTTTGCATTTAAAAATAGCGTTGATCTGTGTGACCTCAACATACGAGATTCATTAGTTTGCAAGGTGTGATTCATTTCTCTGTCAGAAGTTAATCCAAAAGAGAACTTAAACTGGTTTATTAACCTTGAAGTCTGTGGAGCAGCATGTGGAAGGTAAAAATGGGTGTTCTTCCTGAAGAATGTCTTTCTGTCAGCTGGCATTGGTGATTCTGATTTGTTAGTGCAAGTTCTATCAATATAGAAGCACAACCAGCAAATATGATTGATAAATGTGCCAAATGTCTGAAGCTCATGACATTTGTTTTACTGTTTTGTTAAAGTGTTTTTTTTTTTTTTTTTATATTAGATTGGAGACAAGTTCTGGTTCACAATGGAAAATGTTTGCTTTGAGCAGAATGTGGATTTTTTTTTTCCCTCTGTGCTTCTTAATAAAGGGTATTGTGTGTAGAATTATTGAGATATGCTTAGTAGCTGGAAGCTGATTCAATTTTCCAGTCCAATCCAGTCTCTCAAAAGTAGTTCTCAGTATTTCTCAAATGCCCTTTACATGAGTGTCAGTTTATGTCCTGCGTGGGGTTTTTTCTCAGTATTGATTATAACAGGGATGTTTGTTTTCTGTTGATTTCCTGTTACTGGCCTTAAATTATTGGAGACCTGTAATCAAGTATTTCCCATGGTCTGGGCTTTTTTCTGTTTTCTGCATTCTGTCCCAAGTAATGCTCTGCTTAAGTCTTTTCCTTGGTTCCTCTGGCTAATACTTTTCAGCTGCTCCTGGTTCAGCTCCTGGTTCCCAGTATGGCACAATGACCAGGCAAATCTCGCGACACAACTCTACCACTTCTTCAGCATCTTCTGGTGGATACAGACGGAACCCTTCTGTGACTGCCCCATTTTCTGCTCAACCTCATGTTAATGGCGGGCCTCTTTATTCTCAAAATTCAAGTAAGCTTCTGAGCTCTGAAATCACAAACTGTTTTGAGCAAAATGATTGTAAAAGCATGCATGGCATTTTAATTCGTTTATGAAGAGCATCAATCAGATTACTGCTTTCTTTCCTAAAATAGAAGGAAAAACAAACAAGAAAAACCATACTGAAGCTGTATAGTGATTGCACTATATGCAATTATACTGTTTTCCCCTCTGACTTGTTTGCTGTTACTCATGACAAGAAATTATTATGATTGCCTACCTAATTACAGGCACATTATACTTAGCATTTCAGGTGTGCTTGGAGAACATAAACTAAAACCACAATTTTTTTGCAGGAGACTCAATATAGTTGTAGTACAGTCCCTCCACTACTGGGCTAGTGGCAAAAATGGTCACAGCACAGTGCTCATTTAACAAACCTTTCCCATTACACAGTTCCTGTCTGTCTCTGTCTCTTTCATAAATCCTTTCCTGATTCCAAATTTCTCCTTTGTTCTCGGTTTTAAACTTGACTGTTAAAGAAGAGCTCAGTCTCTTTTTAGCAGACTCCTCCTCTGTGCTTCCACACTAGTAGTAGTACAGATGGAGATGAATGAGGGAAGGGATGGATGCCATGGGCAAATGGGCAGGTTTGAGTCAGCAGCATCCTGCTTACCTACCCAGCCAGGCAAATGAGGTTCACTGCAGAAAGATCTGCAAAATAAGGATCTACTTGAGAGTTGGTAGAAAGCTGTTTCTATCAGGGAACCTCTTCCTTGCCGTTTCCGTGGATTTTGACCAGATACACATAGAGGAGTGATAGTCCTCTAAGGATTTCTGGTGACGTTCTTCAGCCAGAGTACCAACTCTTTAAACTTCAGTGATATTTCTTGTAACAAGAAATGTTGATGATTGGGCTGAAGATCACTTTGGACCAGTGTTCGCTGTTGAGTACTTGCTCTTAAGGAAAGAATGCACATAAAATGTTTGAGACACTGAAGTGAAGAATTTTCTCAGTGGTTGAGAAGTATTACGTTTATCAGAAAGCGTTTTTGTATGCAGACACAGTATCTATCTTTTTTTTTTCTGCCCAATCCTGATTTTCCTCCTACTCTCTCACCTGTACTGGCCTTCCTTTTCCTCCACACTCTTGTTCCCCCAAATTAATTCACCATATTAGCTGAAGCTCATTCCCGTTTGAACTGTTGTGTTCTATTGAATAAACAGGGCTTTTCTTATGGAAATTGTTGTCTTAAATGCTGTGCACACCACTGTTTCTGAACATTTACATTTGTCCAAAGCAATTTTTTGCTCAAATGCAGGTGCTGTTCCTTAATCTGGCCTTTCTGGTGTTTTCAAAATACTGATTGCCAACATTTTTAAACAGTATTTTGATGGGTGTCTTTCTACTTTAAACTATTCCTCTGTTTCTGTAACTGGTGATATTTTTTTTTTAATTATTTTTTTTATTTTTGATGCTACTGTCTTGACATTAAACCCAGGTCCCATGTTCCCTTTAGGTTTTACTTTTCATGTTATAAAATACTCTGCTTTTTCTTAGCGGTTTACTTCAGTTTTGTTAGAAACCTGTTTGTTCTCCTTCTTTTATTGATCATTTCTCCCATACAGTTTATTTGATTATTGGTTTTCTAAAGAACTAAATGCTCCATTTTTATTCATCAAACATTAATCTTAGTTATGGCTTTATTTAAAACTGTTGCTTACTTGAAAGTACAGAACCTCTTTCAAATCTGGTTCCAACTGGATTACACTGCTGAATTCCCACCTTCACAGGCATTTCTCTGCTTCAGTGCAAGAGGAATTCCATTGAGAAGGAGCATGATGTAAACAGATGAGTTGATATTTTGTTGGTTTTTCTATTTATTTTATTTTTTCCCCTGCTTCATGGGGACATGTGCTGGCAGAGCTGGTATTTTGAATGGCATGCCCTACTGCTATCATGCCTCCTTCCTACCTGTAGAGGGAAGAGTTGAACATCTCGCCTGTCAGCCCAGCATCTTTGAGCACTGGTGCCATGTGTCTCATGTCATTACTCACCAAATGGGTACATATTTCAGAGAAGATGAGCTTTTAAAGTGCTTCATGGGGAACTCGGTGTGCTAGTGTAGGCAGTTGTAGCTGTTGAAGTCATTGCCAGTCTCTCTCAGCAACTTAGGTTGCTGAGTGCCTTCTAACCACAGACGACTTAGAATAAAGCTCCATTCTGCTCTAAATCCATCTGGTTTTCCTACCAACAAGCAAGAAGGTCCCTTTTTGTACGTAAAACAAAAGCATAGTAGAGCCAACCCAGTGCCCCTTGTCCCAGCAGAACAAAATTACGGGAGGTGTTCTCTGTATGAATGTATTCATATTCATTGCTGCACTGGAGGTAGCAACCCTACTCTTATTTCAGAGTAGGAGTCCAGAATCCTGTGAAAATTGCCTCTACTTCAAGTAGTGTACTTTGAAAAGATAACTACTGAATAGCAGTAAAGCTTATTTGGCAGCAAGACGGACAGCTCAGCTTTGTGCGCTCCCCAAGTGAAGCAGAGCAAGTCCCCTCACACGCACACACTGTGAGCTTCCAGATGCGCAGCCTGCGCTTGGCTTTTTATTCAGCTGAACACAGGGGCATGCTTTGCTTTTTGATCCTCCATTGGCAAACCACAACTTCAGCCCTGTTGGAAACACTAGCTTTTGAAGGAGGTTCTCGTGTGTGTGTGTTCTTGTTGTTCTTTACATACTTTGTTTTGTGGTCCTCGTTACTGACGGCTGCTTTTGTTTGTTTCCTTTTTTTTTTTTTTCCTTTGTCTGTTTGACTTGCCCCGATATTGTGTGTGTGTTGCTACCAGTTTCTATTGCTCCACCCCCTCCCCCTATGCCTCAGTTGACTCCACAGATACCTCTCACAGGCTTCGTGGCCAGGGTGCAGGAAAACAGTAAGTTTGGACAAGCTGAGCTGTTAAAGGGTAGAGCCTACTCTTTCTTCTAGCATGCATGGCTGGCAAGTCAGACTCTTATTTTGTTTCCTTTTCCAGAAGCTAATACCATCTTGCATTCTAGTGTCAATACGCTATTGGAGCTGAAGGGCACGCTCTTCAATACTTTATAACACGTGCATGATTATTACTGACCCATTTAAGTTCTGAACTGCAAATTTGTTACAGAAATAGTGTGAAATCCGTGGCATATGCTTGGTGTGAATATAGAAATCTATCTTAATTAAAAATATTAATTTCATGTTGAATCATCCTGCCTGAGGCGCTTTCACTAGGGATAATTGATTAGTTGTTATTAAGAAAGGCTTATGTACTCTGTCAAAATATGTCCTGTGTAACCGTTGATTCTAGTACTGTAGTAGTTTTCAGGAAGCTGTCCAGTCAACTGAAAATGTGCAGTTTTATGACCTAATGCCATTACAAAGGAGCTTGTAAGGTATTTCTCCTCTCAGCAGTCTTTCTTCTCCATCTCTTTGTTCCCTAGGCAGATTTCCATTTTGAGCTTCTTGCAGCACAGCTCTCTGCTTGTTAGGTTTGAGAGAGATATGCTCCCTGGCCATGATCTGTGCTGCAAGGTTTTTTATTCTGGTAACTCTGCTTTTACCATTACTGTCCCAACTGCTAGTGCAGGGATAAAGTTGTGTTCCTTGATCTGGCGATCTTTGCTGTAGGAGTAGTTGAAGTTCTGTAAACCACAGAATGAATGCAGTGTAGATAGGGCACAAAGTAAATACAAAATGTCTCTGAAGTGTTTGTGAGCCTTAGTGGAGTTTCCTAGGATCTCAGTGGCTACTACTACATAGTAGCTACATAGCTCCAGCATAGCTTTAGCGGTCCCAGATCTCACTAGTGCTGCTGTTCAGCTTCCCATTAGAGCTTTTAAGTGGTCATGTTCTGAGGATACCCCTGGAGATAGGAGGCATGTCTCTGGTTCTCATTCAAAAAGAAGATATTTTGGTGTTGTGCTTGGTGAACATTGTTAAGAGTCATGTTGATGTAGAGTAGTAAGTCACAAAATTGTGTTGATGAACCTTTCCAAAATTCAAAGTGTAGAGGTAAACCTACTGAGGATGGAGGTTGCAGCATGCCTTCACTTGAAGGTAAGCTTGACAAAATTGACACATGCTTCTGAATTGTTCCAAGTATTGTTCTCCTCCTGGAGATGACACAGCCCTGGGGAGAGCAGAAGGGAAGGGGACAGACTTGCTTGTGTGTGCAACAGCAAAATGCAAGCTGACTTGTGAACGAGATTGCAGCAAAAACAGCTGAAGTTTGAAATCTGGTCTTAGGAACAGTTCTTTTAGAGTTTTTCTTCCCTTTTACCAGTCCCTCGGGTTTGACAGTTACATAACAACAGTATGGGTTTGAGCTGCTGCCGCCGCCTCGTTTCAGAGGCAGGGGCGCGTGTGGCAGGCAGTCTGTGCACACACTCAGCGGGACTGGCTTGTGGAGGCTGTTGTTGGGTTTTGGCATTGTGTGCTAGACTTTCATCTGTCTCATCTTCTGCAAGGAGTCTCCGGGGGAGTGGAGCTAGGGAGACACGTGGGTAGGCTTGTCTTCTCCTTGCTATGACAGTTGTGGGTTGGAAAAACAACATCCTCTGCTCTGTGGTCTTCTTTCAGAGGGTAAGAACACAGAGCTTAGAAACTATGCAACTCCTGTTCTTTTTTCCTGCGCCCTGTGCCCAAACTGTGGGTATCTCCTTCAGAGAGGATTTACAGTGTGTCCTGTGCCCAGGGACAACTGATGTGATGTGAATTGCTGTATTGTCGCACTCAGGCCTTTCAAAAGGAGTCTGCTGGTCCCCATTTAGAGAACAGGGATGTGAATACATACAAGAGAAGATGTCTCGATTTGGAGATGTATAAATACTGGTCCTTTTACCCTCTCTTATTTAGTGTGGTTTTCTGTATGCTTTTCTTCTTTTCCTCCCTTAGCAAAAGTAATGCTATTCTACAGCCTGCCTGTTTTCAGTTCAGAACTAGGAATATTTTAGATTAAAATCTGAGATAGGGGGGAAACTTCCTTGGGGTGGCACTTGTCTAATGTTCTGTTCCGTTTTTTCCCCTTGTTTAAATGTGAAGTTGAACTGTTTTAAATGTTTCCTTGTAAAGCATGCAGTTTTCTGCACTGCATCTCAGGGTATGTGTTGGTGCTTTCACACTTGCATTTCCTGCCCTCTTCTCAAATAACCAACTTCATTGTTGAATAAATACAACTTTTTACATTTATTAAGGTAAGGATTTCTCAAGATCTCACAGGATTGTTGTTTCAATACCGGGGTTTATCCTGGCTGCAGACAAAAATTAAGGGGAGAAATAAATTTTGTGAAAGATGTGCCGAAACTACTACACAAAACCCATCTGTTCATAAACAGTGCTGTCATGTGTCTGTGGTGGATTAATGAAGCCTGCCTGTGAGTGCTGTTCAGTAACACAGGCAAGATGTAGCATTCACTCAGCCAAAGACTTTGTTAGTCTGTCCCCAAGTGATACAAATGGGCTTCTGTATGGGAGAGGAATCGCTAATACAGTGGCAGCCAGTCTTGCTGATGGAGAGGGCTGTGGGGAATACAGCTCAGCTGGTCAAGCTGAAGAGCAGTTGGCCTTGCAGGTGAAGAATAGCACTAGCTTGTCAAGGGGCAGAGAGCAGCCTGGGTTCCAGGGCTGAGGCAGCCTCTGCCCCAGCACCTCTTGCTGGCCTCAGCCCCCTTGCAGCCGGAGATTTGGCTTCCCCTATACCACTACAGCCAGTCTGACCCAGCTAGGACATGGGAGCTATGCTCAAGCCCCTTTGTCATGTGGCTGAAGAGCAAAGATTAGTCATTGCTGGAGTACTGGCCAGGTGACAGTAAAGAGCATTAAAGCAAGCAGAAACCTGATTGTTAATCTCCGCTGCATTGTAACCAGCAGTAGCTAAAGCTTCACTCAGTATTGTTCTTCCCTTGCCCTGCAGCTTGGCTTTCTTCTCAAAATTAGTGTTATGTGCTGGAGCTACACTTTCTGGAGCACGTGCCCAGCCTGATGGCTCCTTCAAGTCAAACCCTTTCCAGAGCAGTGGTTTGCAGCCTGTTTTCAATGTGCAGACTCCCAAATCTCTTCTAATTAAATCTGTATTGCTAATAGTTGAGTATAGTGACAATAGCTTCCTTTCAGTAACTTCTGGCTCTGTAGTGCCTACATCTAGGTCTGTATTTAGTGGACCACAATTCCTAAGGAATAGGATAAATGACTTGATGTCTTGCATCTTTCTTTTGCTGCCAGCTGCTGTGAATGTGACCAAAACCTAATTTGATGAACTGATTTTAAGAGTGATTTGTACCATAATGCCTTTCTCTTTTTCTTTTTCCCAAAGCAACTTCTGATTGCGCTGATTGGAGAATCTCAGGGCAGGGATTTGACATTTTGGATTATACACTTAATTCCTTGAGCACTTTTTTCCCCAAGAGCAGCAGCTGCCTGTTGTAGGTTTCCATTTATTAATTGAATCCTGGATATGTGCACACACTCAAGCTAGGCTGCAGGATAAGGATCTGTACAAAGCTTTTCTTCTGCAGAAGGATTACTTGGCTTTCTCTTACCTGGTTAAATCTTAAATACTAGTCTCTCTCCTGTTTTCCTACGGTGATCTATAGCAGATCTTTTTGTCGCCTTAATGCCAGCTTTGAGAGAGAAGGAATCCAAGGAAACAGTGTTCAGAAATAAATTGAATTGACTGTTGTAGACGAAGGATTTGGTAAAAAATAATCAAGCTGCTGGTCCAGCCCAGAGGCCTGTTGCTGCCTGGCTCAGAGGGTGCCACTCGGAGTCCTCCCATAGCTAACCGCTGCAGCTGCCCCATAGCGCATGGGCGTCCGGGCAGGAAGCTTTCCTCTCTGCTGGTGTTCAGCTTATGCCCTGCAGCATGTGCTTCGACTCTAGTAGCATTTATACATAGATTTGACCACTAATAATAAGTAGTTGTGTGTTGTAGCTGTTAATACAAAGCCTCTGTTTCTAATCAGTGCATGGTGGTGTAGTGCATGCTGTGTGTGTTGTCCCCCACCCTGTTTATTTACAGTGTACAGCCTCAGGTTTGTTTGCATCTCCACACTGGTTTGGTTTGAAGGAAAAAACTAATCTCCAAATGTTTCTAGTTGCCGATAGCCCGACTCCTCCCCCTCCACCGCCTCCCGACGAGATGCCGATGTTCGATGACTCTCCTCCTCCTCCACCCCCACCCCCCGTGGATTATGAGGATGAGGAGGCCGCTGTTGTCCAGTACAGCGATCCCTATGCAGATGGAGATCCTGCCTGGGCACCTAAAAACTATATAGAGAAAGGTAAGAGAAGTGTTGCAGCTCTGTTACTGCAGTATCAGAAGTTAATGCTATCTGAAGGGAACGAAGGCCTTTGCTTGGGTCTGAAAACAGTCATTGTCCCTGCTAAGTCAGACCTCAAACCATTCTTTTCTTCATTTGTCAGTGGCTATACCTAATGTGATAAAATATAATCCTTCTTTAAAAGGATTATAAAATACCTTCAAGCATTCTAGAATGGATTAAAAAAGAAATCTTTCATTATGAGGAGCAGATGTAAATGGGATGGCTTTCATCTTTGCTGAGCTGCCGGACTCTGTAGCTATCTTGGGATTGCTGGCAATCATCTAGAAATAGTTTTGCAAAAAGGCCAGGAAGTCTGAGCTGTGTTTATCCCATCAAACTAGATAGCTGGAGTGGATCATTAGACTTTCAACTGTAAGATGTAGTGAGGCTTCCTTGGAGACTTCCTAGTGACTCTGTATCAGCAGACGATAAACTGTGCTTAGGTATGAACTCATATAGTAAATGTCTCTTCCCATGAATAATTGAGATGCCAATTTCCTGCCTGTAGAGTTGTCTGTGTTCTGACGACGACCATTTTGTCAACAGCAAGGTTGCCAGTTTTCCCATGGTCTGGCTGGTACAGTAGTGCCTGTAAGATGGGGCAGGGTGCCTGTGACACCCTGTCCTGTCCCAGCAGAACCGCCAAGTTCCATCTGCGCTCTGAGCTGGACTGTGTGCAGCACATACCCGTGGGATGACAGTAACTGATACACAGCGTCATTATTTCCTAGGCATTAACACATCAGATTTCCAAGCATATGTGTGTATATGTAAAGTGGTAGGCTCTTAAAATCCATAAAACTGATCAATTGCATAAAGCCATGTTAACTGTTTGGAAGGGTAAAGCTGTGATGTCCAAAGTCTGTGTATTCACAGCGATAGTTTTTAATTCCAGTCTTATTGGTGGTGACATTTACTTGGGCAGATCTTTGCTTTGTTAATTGCACACAATGAGTTGGAAGTTGGGAAGAGTAATGTATTCACCAAGTGGGTACTGAAAAATAGTTGTTGCTGCTGTAAATTTGCTTCTGCTTTTTGCTGCAGTAACTTTAATATTTGCAACTCATTGCACCTCTTTGAAAAGTAACACTAAAACTTCCAGTCGCAGAGAAGCTCTGTCGCAAAGAGTATCCATTTCTGTACAGTGGTGTTCAGCAGCTGTTCACAGGAGGACATACAGGAGTACATGCTATTGAGCTGCAGGGGCCACAGCCTAGATTCTTTTTCTGTTGGTCCATTTCTACAGAATTTATTTATTTAATTCGTGGGTTTTCAGGCTCTCTCTCATCAAGAGATCCCTGTCCAGGGATCTATATGCTTTTGAGGTAATCCAACCACAAGTGATGTCACACTCATGGAGTCAGTTATTTCATATGGCTTTTAAGTGTCCACATACTTCACTTTACTGAGTTGCAGTCAAGTGTACCCCTTTCTCGGTAGTTCAATTGAGCATTAAGTATAGTGACCACCTGCTTCTTACTGTTAGCTAATGTTGTGAGAAAAGTGAAATTTCATCTTCTGGATATAAAGTTCAATAGGGAAAGCATGTGAACCGGTTATGGAAGATCCCAGGATAGCAAACTAGTCTTTTAGCATTCTTTTGAAGTACAATTTTTCTTTAATGCTGGTGCTATGAGTAAAATGCTAAATGTGTCCCTGTTCAATCCACAGTTGTTGCTATATATGACTATACAAAGGACAAAGACGATGAGCTGTCATTTATGGAGGGTGCAATCATTTATGTGATAAAGAAGAATGATGACGGCTGGTATGAAGGAGTTTGCAATCGAGTAACTGGCTTGTTTCCTGGGAATTACGTTGAATCAATCATGCACTATGCCGATTAAAAAATCCTTTGCTTTTTCAAGTTGGGTCCTGTATTCAGTCATACCATGATTATTTACAAGGGTAACTAAAGCTAACAGAATTGTCTTAATATACTTTCAAATAAAAATGTGCCCATTTCTTCAGGCCATACTGTTTGTTTTAATGGTATGATTGAATGTCCATCTCTCTGAGTCTCTGGAGACAGTATGTCTTACCTGATGGCAATTTGTAAAACAAGCAACTGTCTATAACTGGTTATACTTATTTACTTATGCATTGTTAATTTTATGACCAGCCTAAATATTCTGGGGAAGTAGGGTATAATATTTAATGAACCATGATCAGATTGTGCCATTACATTTTTCAGTACAGCATGGTAACTAACACTACGTTAGACTAACATATTAAAATCTGGATGAGAAGTTTAATGTTAGTGCTGGTCATACTTCTTTTTGTTTAGACTCTTTGCTCATTCTTGAACTATATTTGTTTAAAGCATGCATACAAACTTATGTATTGAAATATACTTTTTTAAAAATCCAAGATGCTTCCAATTGTTGTAATCTTTACCTGGAGTATTCTCACTAAAGTCTATTTCAATGAGTTGTTTGGGTCTAAGGTGTCCATGTGAATCAAAAAATGGGTGGTCTTATGTATGTGTAATTTGTACCCAAGTTTTTTTAATGAGTAAATTTACATTATGACTTTTTCCATTCATAAATATATAAGTGAACCAAAGGTCTTGTCCATTACTTTGTTGGTTGGCTTGGCAAAGAAGTTTGGAATGCTAACGTAGCAAAATCACATCTGTGTTATCCCAGGCAATGTTCTAAAAAGCAAATGTTTGTAATGTGACTTTACCACTGACAGAGGGCGAATAAATTAGATATGAAACCTGAATTACACATTTATACATACTCTTAAAAGTTCTTGTCTTCCCAAATTAATTTTAGCAAGGATTCTCGATTGAATCTAGTTACCTAGATGCAGGAAGTTGGACATCTGTAACTGATGTTTCCCAGTGGCAATGTGCCCAGTAAGCAGAGGCGGCAGGCTGCCTGCAAGATGTGACAAAGGGGGAACATACACAGCAGGAACTTGGCCACTGCCTTAAGGGAGCATGGACAGAGACAGAGATGATGCACTTCCCTGCTCCACAAATTCTGTGGCTGAACCTTGAGAAGGAATGTGGTGGTACTGGATAATTACTGCAAGAGGAGTGTGTCTGGGACTTGAAAGCAGACTTCTAGGAGGGTATTGAATGTACTGTGTAAATGGGGGATGGAAGGTGATGGAGTTGAAACTTTCACTGGCTGCTGAATTTTAGTGCCAGTTCTTAACTGTGGCACTCAAATCCTGCATCTTAACTGCTAGCAAGTAGCAACTAACAGCATACCTGTATTTCATTGTGAACTGGGAAACTTCTCATTGAAGTCCACATAGAGTCTGTTACAACAAACTGATTTCTGTATATGCAATTCCAGGTACTTCTAGTTCAACAGCCAGGAACACTTTCAAACCATTTACCTTCCCAGGATTTTCCCAGATAGTACCATGCATGCTGTTTATTAGTGCCAACAAGTGAAATCTGGAACAACTTCAGTTCTCATACACTGATACATATTTATTCTCATTGTGGCTTTTGTGCATTAACATGTAAACATCTTCCCCACTCCCCCCCAGTTAATAGTCCCCACTAAAACAATTGTACAGCACAGTCTGATGTGCTCTGAACTGTGGCTTCCCACAATAAAACACTTTCAACTTCCATTTTTTTTCTTTAAAAAAAACCAGAACTTCAAAAAAAAAAAAAAAAAACCGGTTTCTAAAAAAATAATTTTTGGTAGCATGTGTTGGAAGCAGATAACTTTAGAAGTCAATTTAGGCACAGTCTGGTAAGTAGCTGCCAGAACGAGTGGAAGGAGTTCTCTCACTTGTCTCTCGTGAGTACCATTTCTGTCAGTTGGATGAGGGCTTCTCTTTCAGGGGATGGCCGTAGCTTACTGATCTCTCGTGTAGCTTCATGGCAGTAGCGCTGGGCGAGGTAGGTTGTTTGCTGCACACCATCACTCTTGTGTGGGAAGACAGGTAAAGGTAATGGGTCACTGGTTAGCCTCCCTCCTGCCTTTCGCCTCCTCCAGTTACAGGGGGAAGTTTTACAGTCACTATGTACCCTGAACACTTAATTACAGTCTGAAGGAGAAAGGAAAAGGATTCTTTCATGTGTTCATCGAATCCTTCATCTCTTCTCCAAAGTGTCAAAATACTAGAACTTATCCATGCTAAACTTAAGTATACTTACAAAACGACACTGGTATAGTAACATACTATTCAGTAGAATTAGGACTAATGGTTTAACCTCTTCCCCCTGCCCTAGAGATGTAAAAAAAAAAAAAACCTGCTTTCCTGAAAATGTATTAATTTTGTACAGACTATTATTGTCTTTGCAGACCAGAGTAAACTTAAACTGATACAGTGTGCACTGCAGTTCCAAGACTGGTATTACATGCCGCTTACACCAGTTGCTGGATACAGCTACTCTTCAGCTGAAGGAACTGAGTTCATGCATGAGCTTTTAACTTTTATTGTGTGGCATTCATGCTATTGGAGGGAAGAAAAGAAAAAAAAAAAAAGCTCTTCAGTACTTAGCATTTCTGCTAAAACACCACCAGTAAGACAGTTGAAGAGCACTAACTCGGTATTGTACTCGGCATGCTGCTTAACACAGATTTGAAAATGCAGCCCTGCTGTTTTACTTCAGAAGCAATGAGTTTCAGGCTGACTTCAGCAGGTCCAGCACTTCAGGAATGAAATACCTGGTTATCAGTCCTACCTGCAACACATACTTCCGAGCACGTTCAACATCTCCTGGCTTGCTGAATCTTCTCATTATCATAGCATTCATTTCTGGAAACTAAGAACAAAGGAAGGAGGTTTTGTACTGCTTGTGAATTGTTCTGTATCGCTCCCTGCTATACCAAGGTCAAAAAGAAACCAAAGTACAGACCTTCTCCTCTGCCAATGGTGTTCCTACAGGTATAGTTATAGGTAGATACCTGTGATCTGCACAGGACTGTAGTACAGTAGAGCCCAAGCATTTAAAACTTAAACTGTTTGGCTCTGGCTGCCATTTCATCATGTTGAGCAGATAATCCAGTGGTACTGGCAGGTGTGTAATCTGTTCAGGTATTCTTATCTCACAAATGATGATTAATTTGACACATCCAGGAGAAGCACCACTTCCCCCAGACATACCACAGCAAACCCAGGAAGCTTGTTATATCTGGATTGTGCAGTTCAACCTGTAAAACCCTTCATGATACCTTTGACTGTCTGTTGCACTTACGCTCTCCATTTGTCTGGTATTTTATAGACACAGGATCTGCCTGTGGAAAGCTTGGGGAGATTTTTATAAGAACGACAACTATAATATATTTTACTTTCACTCACATAGAATTTGCATTTAGTACTGCATGCTCAATTCCCTACAAATCAGGTAGATGATAACTAAAATCAGTTGTCTAAGAAAGTCACTGCATGTCTTTCGTAAACATGCAGGCACTTTCATCAGGCAGTCAAGAAACAGAAAAACCTGGTGCTTAACAAACTAAGGCCACAACTCAAGACAGCTATGCTGCAGAAGAGTTATTTTTAAAAGAAAGGTGGCTGCTGATCATGTCTGAAAGGGTTATAGTCAAAGATTACTTTATTGCCACACACTTGCAAACAGTAACCTGCTTTCCTTGCACGCCTTTGGGCCTGAAACTGTAGATCTACAAACGTGGTAGGGAACAAAGATGTAGCATCCCTGTTGTGACATTTCTCTATTACTCACAGGTAGGCTTCTTGGGAGATGCATTTAGAAGTCTATTGGTGACTCATTCTTGGCTTCTCTAGATCCTAGCTTTCTTCCCATCTAATGACAATTTAATTGCAATACTCATATAATCTATTTTCGTATTATTCATATTTACAACCATATAGGATGCATATACTTCCACTTTTACATTTAAACACTAAAGGATATAAAAATCTCCAAACTTGTAACATAAAGCTGTTCTTAGCAGTTCTGCAGATTTGACAGGAATGCTTATAACAAAAATAACCCCTCATTCTTCAGCTGTACTACCTTAAGAGTGGCTTTAGACTTAGCATATACTAGTACATTTCCTTAAAAAAATGTTTGGGCTTGTGGTTTTTTCCTTTTACTGAGTATTTGACTTAAAATACTGAATGAACAGGTCTCACATCAAGCTAAGCGTTTTTGTATAAAGCCTTCTCCTTAAGATTCTAACACACAAAGATGTGTTTCAGACGGAAAGGAGAGAACAAGAAGATAAGGTGACCGTCACGGAAGATCCAGAGCACTTGAAGAACTAAAGTATGTTTGTCAAGAAGACAATGAGAGGATCACCAGATATATTAAGGGTATGCAGGATAGGAGTAATATTAATTTCAAGAGAAAAGACAGCCTGTAATTACCAATTACAGTTTGGACTATCTTCAAGGCTCAGGAGGTTTTGTTCTCTGCTACAAATAGATTAAACATCTTTTAGTAGCAGCACAGGTAAGTGTCTGTTGAAGCTCTAGATTTATCTTTTTTTCACTTATACTTTCATTATATATTACTTAAGTCCACTTTCTTGAAAACAGCAGGAAATTTTCAGCAAAGCAACCTTCTGGTTAATGCAGAAAACTTTGCAACTCATTTATCTTATGAAGCTAATTCAGTGATAGATTAAATGATTAAATAAGTTGAAAGTTGGAGACACTGAACCCAAACAAATGAATAAAAGAATAGTTTTAATAATAAAAAAATGTAATGTTCAATACCCACAAGACAATCAGTGTTGCCCATTCTCTGCCAAAACCAAGAGTATGTGCAAATGTCCTTGTTTCTCTCTACAAGTAGCTTTAACACTTAGACCATTTCACAATTGCATTCTCTTTCTGTACGTGAGTGAGTGTCACTATTCTTTAGAGAACTCCAGTTGCTGATGACTAACAAGATCCTGCTGCTTATCAACAAATCCTGAAATAATGATTCAAGAAAGGTCTGTGAATCCCCAGAGGAGTCTGTGGGGAGGAACTGAGAACATGGAGGAGATTGTTCTCAGCATGCATTTGTCTGCTTTCCTGTCTTTTCTGAGCTACCTGTCCTTGTAAATGCCCAAAGGCTGAGGAAACAGACGCATGTACATGTTCCACCTCCCCCTACCCCAGGTTCTTTAAGAAAGAGGAGAAGTAAAAAAGTTTGTTTTTTAATGATTTAAAACTTTTCCCATGTCAAGCTCTGAGCAATTCCAATGCAAGATCACAGACTATAGAGCTCTACTGGAACTAGTTGTGCCAGTTTTTGTACCATGCTGTGAAGTTTGATAGGAAGGACTGATTTAAGTCCCAAATCTTCTTTCCTTGGGTGAATCAGAAGCTTGAACAAGATGCAGTAAACAACTTTCTCCCCCTTCTATGGATTAGCACCAATTTTAATGTTTCTTCTGGTGCTGCTGGCACTTCTGTTTTCCTTCTACTCTACCAAATCACTTTTAAGGCACTAAAAATCTTGACCAATTTTAAGCTTATTTTATTTATGATACTCCTTTTTCTCTTATCCAAACTACTATTAGAACTTCAGAAGAGAAAGCACCCCATGTTTGTAACTGAATATGATTTGAGAGCAAAGAAGTGAAGAGTTCAAATCCAATAAACAGAGGTGCCCACCTAAAAGCTAGGCAGAGATTTAAGTTCTTGGGCCCAGAATGAATACAAAGCCCATAATTTGGCAAAAAGCCTACGCACATAGTCAAGTCTGAGGAGAACACGATGTCTCAAGGACAATCATAAGGAAGAAGCTACCTAGGAATAACCTGAACAAAACATGCAAAAACTCTCTGAATCCCTGCCCCTCTGCAAAGGTTATGCACTTGAACTGAGGCAGCAAAATATTTAGTGTTGCTTTTCATACAAGGGCCTCATGGTGAGAGCACACGTGTACAAAGGTGTTTCTCAATCTGAAAGCACATGTATGTGCACACGGTGAATCTAGCTGATCCCAAACACCCAGAACACTCTCATCACACTATAGACTTGATGTGTTTGAGCTGGACCTCTGTGTGTGCTGTGAAGAGCAGTGTACACTTTCTGTTTTGGGGATACACAATCTGTTGACTTACCTGTCGACAAGCAAACAGGACAGGGCCTGTGGCTAATCCAAGCTTGAGATCTGCTGCTGCTGGCTTCCCCAGATGGTCAGCACATGATGTAAAATCCAGCACATCATCTATTAGCTGGAAAGAGATAGACAAATGTACAGATTATTTATAAATCGTAAATCAGAACTAAATGCAGAAGAATCCTTGATAAGAAAAGATGTATAGAAATGATCAACACAGCCCACTTTTGATTTCTAAGGCACTTTGGAAAAGTTTAGATTTTAGATTCCCTTTAGTTCAACAAAAGCACTACCTGAAAAGCTATGCCAACATTTTTTCCATACTGGTATGCAATCTCATGAACTTTGGGATCAGGGCAGCCTAGAATTGAAACCTGAAAAGAAAAAGAAAACCCCAAGTAAATAGAAAGCTTTAGTTAGTATCCACTTAAAGTCTCTCACCATAGGAGTGGCATAGCAAGCACGGACAGTAGGAATCTGGGAAAGGGAAATAAAGCTGAGTCAGTAGCACATTTCTGCTTCTCTCTGTTCGTGGATACACACAAAAAGCCAAGGTTATTAGAAAACAAGACTGAACAGCAATGCAGTATTAAAAATACATTCTTCTGGAAAGAGATCAGCTTTATTAAATATTTATCAGACTTAAGAATTATAACGCAAGGATGAAAAGAGAAGAAATGTGGATGCACTGCACATGCAGGCTAGTACTCATACACAGTCCACTGCTAGGGGAATTAAATTTATTACATGTATAACTCAGCCAGGGGATAATTGGAGGTCAGACAACAGATAAATGGACATTACATGCCTCATAAAAGATCCATGAAACTGGCTGTGCTGCACCCAGTACAGGAGGGACAGTTGTGATAAGATTAATTTTAAGGGTGATAGTAATGATAACTGAATTGCTCAGGAAGATAAGCTGATCAGCTTGCAGACAAAGGTATCAAGGGATGCTTAGCGGCAAAGACAAGACAGTGACTGAAGAAAGGACACCAAGCTAGGCAGAAGCACCACTGAGATAAATAAAACATTGTAACTGAGTACAGATAATCGACTGCTTGAGAGACAGAAGTTTTGCTGCATAAACCCCACAAAGCTAAAATGTAAGACACAAACTAAGATTTGCGAATTAGTATCTTGCCTCAAAGTAAGGGCACTTACGCATTTGCATTTATGTATTGATTATACACTTTGCAAAATGAGGTTGGTTATGTTTAAATACTCGGATTTATTTCAGCCTTCAATAAAACCATTAGGAACAGGGGGCAAAAAATCCATCCTGGTTTAATGAAGACATTCCAAAACTGCTGTGACTAACGGAAGGAGCGAAGGTACATTTTACTTAATGTAAGACTAAAATACATACCAGGAAAGCCACACAACATTAAAATATGTGTGTGTATATATATATAAAAGTTCCTTTTTAAGACTATGTAAGGTAGGATCAGTAAAAAACCCAAACAATCCCAAACTAAAAGTGAGTCCAGCAGCAGCTTTGAAGATGAACATGAAGATGGAAATAAGAAACAACATTATATCCTAATAAATGTGATGCAACTTGCACAAGATTAGGGACTATTTCATGCATCAGTGCATTTTGTAATTCGGCATCAGAACACTTCCCAGTCATAACTGCATCCGTGGAAAATAGTTAGAACCCAGAGGAACCTGGAGGCCTGAGGCATTAACAGCATCTCACATTTCCCAATTTTATTTAAAAGAGGAGGATAGTAAGGCAGGAAAAGAACGTTACTGATGTCTAGTCATACAAAATCCTGATGGCTACTGAAACAGACTGAACTGCAAATATGAGATATTTGAATAGACATTGCTAGGGACTATCAAACTAGAACATTTTGCCCTTTTATCCTCCTTTTGATGCTTTTCTCTTACATAGCAGCATTTGCCCCAGAGAGTTAACATCTTCTACTGCTGTACCATGCCTAGTTTGGTTGCTTCTCTAATACAGATTAATAAATATCAGCAAGGCAGGGAGACTCCATGTACCCTGTTTCAGTGAAGTCTTTACGTACCACCACATTTCATGTAAAGAACTAAAATATGGAATTCAGTATAACAGTGACAAAATCCTCGCTGACAGCAAAGGGTCAGCATGCGTGCAAGTTGGCAGATGGGGAAACGAAGTGCCATGTAAAGAGGAGAGCTTTCTCATTTCATCTGAAAGGCAGGGCTATTCCTGTAGGTACACAGTTTTCTGGGGATGCAGACATTACCTATATAGGGAATTGCATATATACAATTGAAGAAACAGAAGTGTGAGTTACAGAATTCATCAAAGCAAAATGTATTCTTGCACCTCTGCAAGAGGGGACCTTTGTAGCTCCTGCTGAGGTTACAGACATTTCTGAAGACAAAAGGAGGACACTGATGTGCCTGTCACACCCCAAGTGAGCAATGACCATGACCACATCATAAACCTGCAACATGACTGGGTTTATCTACCAGGGAGTTCCTTCAGGAGCCCATTTCTCAAATAGCTCTTGTGGATTATTGCCCCCACCCGGACGCTCACCAGGATGCAGGCAGACAGCCTGGGCCCAGTCAGCCCGACACTGAGTGAGGAAGTTTAACTGAAGCCATACTGGGATAATAGCATGCATCAGGATAACAGTATCAATATAATGATGTATGTTTAAATAATAAAGCTCACCCTCTGAAAACATTCTATAGCTCCTCTGATATGACTCGCTGATTACAAATTTAATCTTATAAGAATTCAGGCTTGTCCTCCACTAAAAAAATCCTTCCTAATACCAAGCAGAACAAATTCTTCAGAAAAGTTCTTTCAATTCAGCAATAACGCAAGTCAATCTGCTTGGCATTATTTCAAACACACTTTTTAAAATAGAAAAGAAAATGTTTCTATTATTTCATATTCCATGAGAGACTATAAACCAATCTTGCCTCTTTACTGAATTTCACATCCATAAAACAGTCTGTCATCAGCTCTGGGTAGCTACACCCTGCTCTGTTAGTTATGATGTGAGACTGGCAGCTGGAGTTTAAGGTACTTGCACATCTATACCAGTGCCCTGAGAGGAAAACCTGCTGCTGGGCAGGGAAGGGATATGGTTATATAAACAGTACAGGAGATGTTTGCTCTCACTCTCCTAGATTCGTGGACACCATGGAGAGGAAAAGGCTCTAAAATCTTCCCATTTTCCAGCCTCTCTCCTCTATGCCCATCTCCTGAAGCAATTAGGATCCTGCCTTCTCACTCGTGGATCATCCACCAGTGCTCTTCCAAACAGGAGCACTGTTCCTCTTCCCAGCAGAATCACAGAATAGTTAAGGCTGGAAGGGAACTCTGAAGTTCACTTCACAACTCACTGTGAAGCAAAGCTTACTTCACATTTAGATCGGGTTGCTCAGGGCTGATCTCAACTGATGCTCAACTCAGTTGAGTTCCGAGTGTCTCAAAGGACGAAGATCCCACACCCTGCCTGGGCAACCTCTTCTAGAGTTTTGACCAACTTCGTGGAGAAATTTTTCCTAATAGCTAATTGAACTGAATTTTCCCATGTACAACTTGTCCTTTTACTGCACATCTCTCCACCCTCCCTACGCCCTCCTGTTACACAGCTGGAAACAGCAAGAGGACTCCCCTCAGCCTTCTCTTCTCCAGACTAAAACCAGCTCTTGACATACCATTTGCTCCAGCACCCAGCCATCAGGATGGCCCTTCAGTGAACTCACTCCACGAGGTTAATGTCTTGTATGAGGGAGCCCAGCCTTGAGATCTCGTGTGCTGAACAGAGGCAAAGAGTCGCTTCCCCCAACGTGCTGGCTATGTTAGTAGTGATGCAGCCCAGTATGTGCTTGCCCTTCACTGCTGCAGGGCACATCGCTGACTTCTCCTCCAGGTTCTTCAAATCCTTTTTGGTAACTTACTCTTGGAAAGGGGGTTATGAAAGCCTACCTGGGAGAGGAGGATGTCTACCCAGCAGAAGCCCACACACAGAGCAGACAAGTATCTTGTCCTGAGCCTGCTTTTTCATGCGTTTGACCTTTTCTCAAGTAATTAATATTTTAACATGTTAACCCAAGTACATGATTGAAGAATTATACTTCTACAGAGGTGAAGATTATCTGCCTCAATATCTGTGATATATTTATGTTAATCTTTTTCACAGCAAACATTATGAAGAAATACCCCCAAAGGAGTTACTGTATTTTAAATAATGAATAAGGAAATCTACTGGCTGACCATACTTGATGCTACTGATACTATCACCCTGCATCTGTCACTGGACTTCACTGTAGTCTGCATTCGTTGCTGGGCTGGGAGGGGGAATCAGTCTTGCTGGTGGGGGTCAGAGGTCTTATTGTCCCAGACAGCAGTTCCACACCCTGGTATGTTTTTCTGAGTGCACACACCAAACTATGAACCAGATAAAGCAGGAGCTCACAGGTTGATCCAGAGCTGAAGGCTAGTCCTCTTCTTCAGTCCCTAAGGCAGACCTTCCATACACAGCCTTGCCTACATGAGGCGGCTGCATGCTTTCTCCTAATAAAGAAACCAAGGATCTCTAGTGCAACTCCACACTTATCTCTAAACAAGCATGATTTAATTCCTCTTCTGAAAGTATGCTATGCAATATATAAACAGTTTTATGAGGGTTAGGAATTCACATTACAGCAGGATAAAAAGAAGACAGAAAGAACCTGCTCAGCTTATTTTGCCATCTCTAGCGTGCCTGATGACTAATAGAAATTCCACTTCAGCTTTACTGTTTCTGAATTCTTGAACCAAAGTCACCTCTCATGTTTCTCTGAAAAATGCCTTTCAGTAACTAAGGCTTCAGTGATCCTCTGGGCCATCTGCCACCATTTCCTTTTGCAATGTATTACTTCGACTGCAACTTTGGTAGCATTCCGCCATGCAGACCTATTGCAGAAATAAACTGGAGACTGGGATGGCTCCAACACCTTCAACAAACTGTTCTGTCCATAAAGAAAATATTTTGCTAATTTAAAGTATTTTTGATTTAAATGCAATAATGCTTTGGTGATGCAAAAGGTATCTAATGCAGTAACTAGACAGTTTTAGACTGTTACTTTGTTTAGACATTGTTCCAGGAATACTCTACTCTTCCAGAGCTAAGGCATGACACTGTAGAAGTCTAAGATGCTGCCTGAACTTGTTTGACATCTTCTTCCCAGTTAATACCTCTACCTTATTTATGCACAGAAACAAATCACTGTTTTTTTCCTATCATTAACAGGAACTGAACTGCTTCTAATGACACACTAGCCTGGTTGTTAATGATGTTCTGAAAACCAGTAATCTCTCTCCTTAGCTTTTTCCCTGAAAACAAGATGTAAATATTCTTGATTCCCCAAGTGAATTTCCTTTCCAATCTAGAACTGATGATCCTGCTTATTATTTTCACTACAGAAACAGAACTCCCTTCTGAATCCATCCTTTTCCTTAGTGGCCAAAAGCATCAAAGCAACCAACCAACAAACAAAACTCACCCCGCACCTTAAATCCCCTTTTCACTGCTATCCACAGACTTCTAATCCATGCAGAAAGAAACTGAGAGGGACAAGTCATTGCTCCTGTGTCCAGTAAGTATGGCTTTGCCATACTTATTTTTGCCTCTCCCTTATTTTTCAATCACAGATTTTGCTACATGTAAAATTCTAGCAATTCAGCAATGGAACAGCTCAGAACAACCACTACAAGAAAAGCAGCCAAACACCCCCTTTCACAAGCATCACAGCCACAATCTGGAGAGAAGTGCTTAAATCCTTAACTATTGCGAGTTACAAAAAGGAAAAAAATTCAACCTAGCACATTTGTAAGGAGAATCCACTCAGTAGGAAGGTGATTTCTGCTTCTATATGTGAGGGTTCTTTTAGGAAGGCTGCCAAAGTGAATATAAAAACGTGTATGTTTTTACTGGGGTAACAGAATAATGTGATGCTGCTTACTAACTCCATTGCCCACTTATATAAATGAAGATTTGCAAAGGGTCATATTGCCATTAATATGAGAAATCCAGAAGACTTTTTTCTTTCTCCAACTAGATATTTTCCCTCCCCGCAAACTCGGTGTCTCTCATTCTATACAATCCTTTTGACTTCAGCAATTTTCTACACCCGTCGATTGCACAGATGTACCAGTTCTCTGAGAACAAAGGAGAATGACTAACACTAGCACAGATTGTCAGTCTATTTCTCCTAGAACTGCCTCTTGCTGTAGCATACACCAGATATACTGCCTTTATCTGCAATAATAAATTAAAAATTATAACTCTTTTGGGGTGAGATTATTGCCATCTTGAATCAAATCTTTTTGTAAAAAAGTAACCAAACTGACTGACAGATAGGGTTGGATATAGCAGCTGGTAAGTAAAAACCCCAGACAAATCAAGAAGTGCATGCTCCTGTTCTTTTACAATGTAGTGTAAAGTATAGACAATCAGTTGTTTCCTCCCACTGCTATCATTTAAGGTCCCAGTTGGCACTAAAGAGTTGGACCATATGTAAAAGAAGACTTCAAATTAAATTACAGACTCAAGAATTACCAACTGATATTAAAAACACTCTCAAATTTGCAGAATAGCATAAATTAAAGGCTGCCACTGTGAACCTTATTTTGATTCAAGTGAGGATAATAATAAATCTGTGTATGAATATAAAACACAAAAGAAAAAGTGAAAACCAATATTGAAGGCTACACAGCTGAACTGTGATAAAATGCACAATCTCAAATGCATTCACATTCTGGCACAATACCACTTAAAGGGTTTGCTTTGGAGGGTCTCCAGAGAAAACAGCAATAACTAGGAGTTTAGCTGTGAAGCTTACAGTATGGTATGTTAACTTTAGAAGAGACAGACGTACATACTGCTTTACAACTGTTTGCTATAAGACTTGCAGTCTTCTTAAAAGTCTTCTCGAGGTAGTGAGCAAATCTCTCATTCTCATTTTCCTTGGAACCCAACTGGAGGAATTCACCTAAAAAGTTGCACAGATGGGAGTGTTTATTTGTGGGTTTACTGCTTAGGCAAGCAAATCTGAAGATAAAAACAGAAAAAGACCTTACCACGCACCAGATCTTCAATCACCTGAGTTAGAACAGAGATGATAGTAGTATTTCCAATTCGTGCTAAAGCTACGGAAGCAGCTGAAAGGATGAAGTCACCAGCTAGAACAGCCTAAGAATAAAAAAAAAAAAAGGATCTTTTAAGTCTTTTCCTGTGAGTGTTAGTACAGGCGATACAATTTCCTTTATTTGACAGGTCTACTCCTCACATCACACCGTCTTCCTATGTAAAGCATGCATATTTCAAGGTAAGAGAGAAAGCAGAAGATAACCAATTATTAAAGTCTGAACCACAATGCTGGCTGTATTTTCTACATAAGCACTATCCCCCCTGTATGCAGTACCTGAATTGCCTGTGCAGTTGTTTTGAATGTTACTTTTCTCTCTGACCATCCTGTTATGCCATGTTAGCTCTGAATTGCCATGGGAAGTTCTGATACATCAGCAGTTCATTTCTTTCCTTGCATTTCTGATTAAAACCTTCCTTTTAATGCTCTATGAAGAAACACCTCTCTCAAAAATCAAAACAATTTTCATGCTGACTGAAAACCTCTTTGCAGTCACTACTGAATCAGAGTAACATATAGTGTTCTGGATGATGTACAAGTTCTAAGTATTCCAACAGCACTGGAGAAAATGGCATAGGGAATGTAAAATCAGTATGAATCACACTACAGTCAGACATTTTATCTAATGCTTCCAACAGTTCAAAAACGGAACACACATTTGTCTTGCCCACAATCTGTGCACACCTCTTCATGCTTTTTCTGGCACATCCCAAGACTGTGCCTAAGGATAGTAATGTGACAAAACCCCCAGGTATTTGTGCTCTGCTGAAACTCAAAGGCAAGTCTTGCACATAATAGGAAACTCACCTTCCTCTCTCCCCAGATTTGATTGACTGTCATTTTTCCTCTGCGAGAATTTGCATCATCAATAACATCATCATGAACTAGGCTAGCTGTGTGGATCATCTCAGCAATTATGGCCACAGAGCGCTGGCTTGCTTGCACCTCCCTGAAATAAAAACCCAAGAACTGTCAAATAATTAAACCAGTTCTATGTGCTGCAATACACTAAAAGAAAATGAAAACCAAACAAAAAAATGTTTCTCTGAAAGCAGCTGTTGAAGTTTTTCCATGGTCTGAACCCCATCTTTCAAACCTGGAATGAGGAAGACAAAGTAAGATCACATTAGTACAGTAAGCACAATGGGATGTTTCCATCCTTATCAGGCCTGTTTCTGTCTTGCTGCATTAGCAGTACTGCAAAACTCTCAAGTTATTAACTCTAATCCCTCTAAATCTAGACTGCAATAAATAGCAGAGCATCAAGGATGCTTGGTTCCAAGGAGATGGAAATCTGGAACACAGCAGAGAAAAGAATGCTAGGTAGCTTTGTAGATGAGATTAAAGTTTTCCATTTCTTGGTGTTGCTCTACCTGCAAGAGGCAGCATCACAAACTCTCCAAAGCTGGCTAAACGCTACTAACCTGCAAGCTGGAGAGATCAGCAAGCACAGAAACCTGTATTCTACATCTGAAAGCCGTATCTCGTGGATCTCATCCTTTAAGTTATTTGATTGCCTTAAGACCTCAAAGGTTCTTCGACAGCCTGAGGAATTAACTGGAACTATACTGCAATCACTTTAGGACTACAAACATAAACACAAACTACCTAACACTTACTGAAATTCAGCCTTTGCAAAGATCTAACACTGATGATTCAACTCTCAGTAGTTCACACCTACTTTAATTTTTAAACGAGGTGCAAAGAAGGAAATGGAAGAACACAGAAGCAATTATCTAGGGAACAAGGTTGGCAAAATGTACAGAAAAGAGCCAACTTAGCCATCTACCTGACTATGCAGCTACCACTGCCTTGTTCTTGTATCTATGTTTTTTTCTACCTGTTTTCATCATGGGTTGTATGCAGGATGCCAGAAATGGCTATCCCAGTCAGCTTTGCCTTATAGTTGTAACAAGCCACATGGACATTAAAAACAGCAAAGCAATGAAAGAAAGAAACAAACAAACCCAACACAATAGCAAAACAAACAAACAAAAAACCCTAACCAAAAAACAGGAAAAAAAAATTACTTCTGGTACACAGAATCATAGAATGGTTTGGGTTGGAAAGGACGTTAAGATCATCTAGTTCCACCCCCCTGCCAAATGGTTGGTTTCTGGGCTGCAAGTGCACACTGAAGCCGGCTCATGTCAAGCTTCTCATCAATCACCACCCCCAACTCCTTCTCCACAGGGCTGCTCTGAATCTCTTCTCCACCCAACCTGTAGCTGTGCCTGGGATTGTGCCGACCCAGGTGTAGGACCTTGCACTTGGCTTGGTTAAACTTCATGAGGTTGGCATTGTCCCACCTCACAAGCGTGTCCAGGTCCCTCTGGATGGCATCCCTTCCCTCCAGTATATCAACTGAGCCACACAGCTTGGTCGTCGGCAAACTTGCTGAGGGCGCACTCAACGCCACTGTCCATGTCACTGACAAAGATGTTGAACAGGATCAGCCTCAGCACCGACCCCTGAGGGACACAACTTGTCACCAGTCTCCAGCTGGACATTGAGTCATTGACTGCAACTCTCTGTGCGGCCATCCAGCCGATTCTTGCATTGCCTATGCCTATTGAATTCTAGTAATTAATCACAAAATGAAAGAACATCTTGCAGTCTGCTGACGTAACACTGTGTTCTGACATCTACCTCCCACTGCTGTAAGTGGGAGTTCTACACCCCGAACAATAGCAGGATGTGTGGCTCAGGCTGTGAAAAAGTGGCTTTTACACAACAGAAAATAAGAGCTGGAAACCTTCACAGCTGTTTGAAGGTAAGTTTCACTGTAGACTAGTAATTTAGTCAAATGCTGGTTCAGTGTAAGTAGTTTTCCAAAATAAACTATTGTTACTAAGTAGGAGAACTTACCTTCAAAAAACTGTAAAGGCGTCCAGCCTCTTTCATGCACTGGTCTCCTTTTGGGGACTCCCTTTTTCATTAATTATGTCAGCAGACTGGACTTCCTGCTGGGAAGTAGCAGCAAAGGCAAAACTCACCGACACACCAAAATCTTTCAGTAGTATGAAGACAGCACAAGAACAGACATTTCAAAAGCAAGTTTTGAAAAGTTCTGCATTACAGTGCATTTCATCTCTGACAATGACTAAAAATGGCATAGGAATGTTCATGGTTCATGTGCCTGGGTCCCAGCATGTTATATCAAACATGATAATTTAACCTGAAGGGTTTTTTTTTAACTACTATTTTTGCAAGGTCTCAAGCAAGGTTCTTCCCATTGCTGGCAAAAAAAGTATCTGCAACAGCTTCCTACAAATGTCTTGTGAGAGTAATTCTGAATCAGAGCATGCCTGTTTTAGGGAAAACACACAAGAAACAGGATCCTTCTCATTCCCTGCCATTTTTCATTCTGCATCGCCTGCAAAACAAAAGCAAAAAGTAGCAGTAACTCAAGTCAATAGATAATTGGGTCCCCACAAGTCCAGTAAGTGGAAAGATGTGATTTTTAGGTCATTCTCAAAGTAAAGACACCCCCAAATGAAATATATTTACACAAAATTTTTATACAACTTTATCAATTGCCGAAGTGAGTATCTCCCGAGAGG